TGAGAAGTCCTTTTAAAAAGCATAAAATAAAAACAAGACACAACCAGTCCTATGCACATACTTAAAACAATAGTCCCCAAAGTTTAACTACTGCTCATTTTTAATGTATCCTTTCAGATAAAAGCATATACCAGTATAGAGATCTCATTTTAAGAAATAACTTCTATAAATGCTTGCCACAAAGTTTGAAGATCTGTCCAAATGAGGGTTTGGAGCTCTACTTCATTCTTTTTAATAGGGCTTCCTGCTGTGTAGATGTATTGTTATTTAACATGTATCTTGTTTCTAATTTGGGAAGAAGGGATATATTGTTGTGGTGTGGGTTTTCCATTGCATAATGTTACAAGTAGTATTCTTGTGTGCATGTATGTGTGCCTGTATACATACATATCTTGGCATACTCTTTTGTGATTACATCCACAATATAGATGATGGAATTTATTAGCCAGACAGAATGAACATTTTAATTTTCATGATATTGCCAAAAGCTGAACCAATGTAAACTCCCACCAACAGTTTATGAGTGCTTATGTCAACACATCCATCAATGTTGCCTATTATCCGACCATTACATCTTTGCCAACATCATTTGGTTGTGCATTTTCTTAATTATGAATGAAGTTGAGTACATTTTCACATGTTTATTGATTATATTCTTAGCTTACTTTTCTATTGGGTAGTGTGTCTTTATCCTTGACAGGTAGAAAAACGTTAAGAAAGGAGAAAATCAGCCCTTCATCTGCTCTTACCAGTTTGTTATTTTTTTTTGCCATATGTAAGTTTTAAATTTTTATATATTCAAATGACCAATCTTTTTCTTTATGGTTTCTGGGTAGGCTGGATAAAAAATAGAATTAGATTCAGACCTATAAATAGGCACCCATGAAAAATGTAAAAACAACCCTGGCCAAAATTATCCTCAAGTTCTGACATTTAAAACAAACACTCCAGAAAACGTTTACACGTGTTACAGGACACGGAGTCCTGGACACCTGCCCAAAGCTTCTACAGATCCATTTATGGTCTTGGTCTGGTGCTGGCTGTGCTCATGTGCCGACGGAATGGGCTATGAAGAGCTTTTCGGGTCAAGGCAAACACTACGATGGAAAATGAGGACAAGGCGCTGTGCGGGGTTATCACAGCCATGCTGAGGTTTTGGTGGCCCTCCTCAATCCCGGTAACCCAAATCCCATCACTATAGGGAGAATACAAAGTGCTTATTTCACTTCCTATCTGGGGAGAGTACTCGTGGTCTACCACCAAGGGCATGCTGAAACAGTCCGAACATCTGAAAGGAGGTATGTGTGCGTTTACCCTATCACAGGTGGCCACATGTGGAAGGATGGAAAGGTGATACAGTGGAAAGATCCACACTTAAATTCCGGATCCTCCATTTCCTAGCCTTGTAACTTTGGCTAACTTGGTTAACCTGTATAATTTATACATGTGACTAACTTTTGGCAAGTTATAATACAATTCAGAACAAATCACAGTCTCTTTTACATTTATAAGCCTAGTTTGCCAAGGATTTTCCAAACAGGTCTTCTTTCTATGTGACAAAAGCTATGCTGGTCATGTTTCTATGTGAAACAGCTCTCAACACGACATTGCATAATTATTGAGAGCTCTTTGGCACCTAAAATTTACTTACAGAAGAATAGATACTAAGTAAACAAAAGCCCTCAAAGTTAATGTCACAGTGAGGCTTAGGCCCGAAAGGATGCTAAGAGATTCTTTAAAAGGCTGAATGAAATGTACACAAGAGAATATTCTCAAAATGGCAGACAGGAAACTAGAGGATATTTGTAGAATCTGTAGCAATGGCAACCAAAATATTCAGTATGCCATATAGTTGAATCCATATCTGTAATTTACACATCTGCTTTGAAAATGGCTTCATATTTTGCAAGCAAGATGATGTGGAGTTTCTGTAATGTATAATACTTTGGTAGTATGTTTTGCACACTAAAATATTTTCCAGCATCAAAATTATAAATAGGTTAAGACAAAAACAGCTGACCTCACGTGGACGACTAAAATAAGTTTCTTTGATGTGGGATACCATGCAGATAGGGCAACTATAACTATTAAGTCCTTCAGGTCAAAGCAAAGAATACACATTAAGTCTTTCGAGTCAAAGCAAAGAATACACATAACTGGAGATGAAAAGAGTATGACCATCCTCAAAAAATTAAAAATAGAAGTACCATATGATTCAGCAACTCCACTTGTGGGTATATACCCAAAAGAATGGAAAGCAGGGTCTTGAAGAGATATTTGTATGCCCACATTCATAGTGGCGTTATTCACAATAGTCCAAAGGTAGAAGCAACCCAAGTGTTCATTTAGTGGATGAATGGATAAACAAAATGTGATATACAATGTCATATTATTTAGCCTTAAAAAGAAAGGAAATTCTGATACATGCTACAACATGGAAGAACGTTGAGGACCTTATACTAAGTGAAATAAGCCAGTCATAAAAAGACAAATCCTGTGTGATACCAACTAGGCGGTATCTAAAGGAGTCAAATTCAAGTGGCAGGAAGGAGAATGGTGGTTGCCATGGGCTGGGGGAAGGGAAAATAGGTAATTATTGTTTAACAGACACTGTTTTGGTTTGAGATGATAAAAAATTCAGGACATGGATAATGGCAAAGGTTGTACAATGATATGAATGTAGTTAATGCCACTGAATTGTATACTTAAAAATGGTTAAGGTAGTACATTTTATGTTATTTATATTTTACCACAATATTTTTTAAAAACTTAGAAAAGACGGAGCTGTACCTAATTTCTCAGTTTGCTTGGGCTGCTATAACATAATACCATAGTCTGGGTGGCTTATAAACAACAGAAATTTATTTTCACAGTTCCAGAGGCTGAGAACTCCAAGATGAAGGCATGGAAGATGCAGAGTCTGGTGAGGGCCTGCTTCCCAGTTCATAGATGGTGCCTTCTGTCTTCACATGGTGGAAAAGACTATGCAATTCTCTGGGGCCACCTTTACAATCACTAATCCCATTCACGAAGGCAGAGTTGTCATGGCCTAATCACTTCCCCAAAGCCCCACGTCCTAACACCATCACTGTGGAGATGGGGTTTCAACCCATAAATGTTGTGGGAGCACTAATATCCAGCCCATAGCACTTACACAGTGAGGTTCCCTGAGGAAACAGGTGACATACTTAAGATGAATCAGGTTTACTTGCAAAGTGGGCGCAGAGGGCAAAATGTGCTTGGAAGAGGTGCAGTGAGTTCAGGAAACTTCCCTCCACAGCCACAGCCCGCATGAGACCACCTTGAAGGGAGAGACCCCAACCTCACTTTTCTACTTCACGCTGATCTCCTCCCACTGGTCACACCCACCTGGAAGCCAGGGAGCACTGGCTGATGGAGTCCCCTGAGCAGACAGTAGGGTGGGAAAGAGTGGCTGTGAAGAGCAAGGAGATTCAGCAAAATGTATGCATGCCAGCATAAAAAGGAGGCCAGAACATACAGCTGAATGAAAAACAGCAAGCTGTGGAACAGGAGGTCCAGTATGATGTGATTCACGGTTAGGAGGAGGGGGAAATACCAGCATGAAGGCTATTTTCTACCAGCAAACTCAGAATAGAGTCTAAAAGGGATATATACCAAACTGACAGGAGTGTTAACTTCTGGGGCAAAGATGAGACAAAGAAGGAACTTTAGACTAATCTGTAGTGTTTCAAATTCTTCCACGAGGAATGTGTTTGTGGGCTTCAGGGAGAGTTCAATATTAATTTAAAAAGAGTAAGTAAAATCATTAATTGTTTCTATAAAATGGAGATACCTCCAGCTTTTGCAAAATCGGGTTAGGCAGCCCATGTCCAGGCATGTCCTGGAAGCCCTAAGTGAGTAAAGAGTCGTAACAGAAAAAACATCAAGTAATGTCAAGCTCTGGCTATACCAGTGGTTCTCAAAGTGTGTTCCCCAGATTAGCAGCATCACATCACCCGGGAACGTGATAGGAAGGCAGATTATCATACCTGACCCCAGAACTACGGATTCAGAAACCCTGGGATTGTCTACCAGGGAGAGGGTCATATGTGAAGTGGTGGGACAGGAGTCTAAGGCCAAGAATTGCTAGACCTTATGGGCCAGAGCTGCCACAGACAGCAGTACAGGCTGTACAATGCTCCTACAACTGTAGGAGGTGTTATTCACAGACTATGATGAGAATGGTGTTCCTTGGGGTGGCGCAGTGCAAAACCTGTATCCCATACCTGTCAGCCCTTAAAGCAGTGGGGAACACAGAAGAGTATTAAGCAGGCAGATGACATCATCAGGTTTGCATATGGAAAGACACCCCTGGCACTCTGCTTAGAGAAGAAAGAGGTAACAGAGAGCTACATCCAACTGCTTTGTCTCCTATATACCTTTGGGGCTGCTAATTAGCTAGGTCAAGAGTAAACTAGGCCGGGTGTGGTGGCTCACACCTGTAATACCAGCACTTTGGGAGGCTGAGGTGGGAGGACTGTTTGAGCCTAGGAGTTCAAGAGGAGCCTGGGCAACATGGTGAGGCCTTGTCTCTACCAAAAATGAAAAAACAGTTGGGTGTGGTGGCGTGCGCCTGTGTTCCCAGCAACTTGGGAGGCTGAGGCAGGAGGATGGCTTAAGCCCGGGAAGTTAAGGCTATAGTGAGCCAAGATTCCACCACTACATGTTCCCATCTGGCCAACAGAGCAAGACCCTGTGACAACAACAACAACAAAAAGAGTGAACTAAAGTAAAAGACTCTTTGAATGGAATCCAAGTTGTCTTAACAGCCCAACCCTGAATCCAGGCCTCCAGATACTTGGGTCTTAATTAGCAGAGGGGTGGGAAAAGGAAAAAGGAGGACGATGAAAGACTCCCAAGTCCGACATTACATGCATGTCTGTACACACACAAGCACACACACAGAGAAAAAAATGAAGGCGGGGTGGGGGGAGCAGGGGCAAGCAGGTGTTGATGAGGAAGAGGTGAGCACCTTGGGCAGGTAGTTTGAGGAAGAAACCTGAAGCTGGGGGCAGGTCTGACTGGCAATACTGATTCAAAAGCCATCAGCACCCAGATGGTAATACAAGCAAGGATAAGATCATTCAAGGTGTGTGTAAACACTGGAAAATCAGTGGGCTGAGGCCAGAGCCCTAGAGAACCTCTATATTTAAGAACAGGAGCTAGCAAAGGAACGTGTTGCACATGGCTTGGAAGCTAGGCAGCTGGAAAAGGCCAGCAGGAATACAACCAAAGAACTCTTGGCATGGCGGAGCCCAGGATTTAATTCAAGTGAGACGTGTCAGCAAGAGAAAAAGGAGGAGACAAGCACGGGGAAGTGCTGCCAATGTATGTTTTCCCTCAGGAGCACTGGGCTGCCAGCGGACTCTTTAAACGGGTCGGTGTGCGTGCCACTCTGTCAGCACCCCTCCTCTGCTCAGCCTGCAGAAAGACTTCATGCTATGGACATCTTTTCTGGGGCCAGTGCACAGCCCTCCAGTCCCCCATTAACTCTCATTTTGAGGAGCTGAGATCAGCTGAGGAAAGCTTCGCCAAGCTTCAGAGCATCAAAATGTGCATTTGGGAGGGGTAGGCAGGCAGATGGCGCCAGATTAAAAAGATGCTGGGCTCGCTCGCTGCTCTGAGGTCTCTGAATTGCCTCCAGCACGGCAGTGTGGAATCAGGAACTCCATCATATGACCTAAAAACTTGTGAGTCTCTCCAAAAAGACTTAGCTTGCTACAAGATACTGAAGGGGATTGAGATGCACTTCCAGAGGTCCTGAGATTCTAGAAGCCCAGCATCCACCAGATGCCTGCTGAAGCTGATGGCTGCTGCACACTCTGCTGTAAGTCTAAAGCATTTTGCATATTGCATTGTAATTGCTTTTTTTTTTTTTTAACCTCTTCCACCCTACAATGCCTCTTCAAGTAGACTGCAGAACCTCTAGACAAAAATTTGTCTTGTCTCTGTATCTTTCCTGCCCAAATTGGGGCTGTCATGCAGTAGCAGGCCCTCAGAAATGTTTGTTAAATACCTGTTGTCATGGGGAAGGACGATTTGTAGAAGCAGTGGTTGCATGCACCTCTCCCTCTCTGTTTTGTCGAAGTTCTAAGACTTCAGTGTAGTGAGCAGGGTTGACAAACTACAGCCTGTGAGCCAAATCTGGCCCATGGGCTGTTTCTGTAAGGCTTATAGGCTTTTCAGTGGTTGAAATAATAATATTTTATGACGTGAAAATTATATGAAATTCAAATTTCACTGTTCATAAATCAAGTTTTATTGAAACACAGACACACCCATTCACTTTCATCTTGTCGACGGCTGCTTTCATGCCATGTCAGTAGTGTTGAGTAGTTCCGACAGAGATAGCATAACCCACAGAGTCTAAAATATTGACTCACTGGCCCTTTAAAGAAGTATGCTGGCCCCTGATCGACAGCAACACTAAATGTGGAGATATACATGAGATATACATCCAAATATGATCTTCCTCACAAGTGGAATTCTTTTTAATTTAACTTTTAGACTTTCCAGTTACTGACATAAAAATGAGAGACATTTTAACTTACCTTGGGGGCATAAGCATCAAAACATGGTAGTGCCATAAAGTGAGCAGGCTGTGCACTCCTCAGAAGGGTCTGCCTTTATCACCATGCTATGACAATGTCTAACAAGTTACTTACGTTCTAGGCCTTAGTCTCGTTGGCAGTAAAAGGTGCACAATGGTAAGACTTCAGAAATTTGATGTGAGAATTAAATACACTGAGTTTTTAACCTCTTAACCTGGTATCTGACCTCCTGGAAGCACCCGATAAATGGAACTACAATAATTTTCCTCTTTGTTTTTGGAGGAATATTTCACTTTACAGAAGATTTGTTCTTGGCCTCCCAAAGTGCTGGGATTATAGCCATAAGCCACCATGCCTGGTCAAAAGGAAGAGATATTTGAAAGAGAGAAACAATTCTCATTATTTAGAGATGACATAATTTGGTCTTTAATAGTTGTACCTAACATGAATTACTTGTATCAGTCTGCAGTTTTTATGTTTTATGACAAAATTGGAATTACTACTCTAGGACATAGCTGTTAACTATCAATTCACTCAAACCTCGATGATGTGTGTATAAATGGAAAGTTATGACAGCACAGGATGTTCTAGCCAATGAAATATGACAAGAAAAATACAATAAAAGGAAGAGTTTTTTGTTTTGTTTTGTTTTGTTTTTTTGAGATGGAGTCTCGCTCTGTCGCCCAGATTGGAGTGCAGTGGCACAACCTTGGCTCACTGCAACCTCCACCTCCCTGGTTGAAGTGATTCTCCTGCCTTGGCCTCCTGAGTAGCTGGGACTATAGGCATGCACCACCACACCCAGCTAATTTTTGTACTTTTAGTAGAGATGGGATTTCACTATGTTGGCCAGGCTGGTCTAAAATTCCTGACCTCAGGTGATCCACTCACCTTGGGCTCCCAAAGTGCTGGAATTATAGGCATAAGCCACCATGCTGGGCCAAAAGGGAGAGAGATTTGAAAGAGACAAACAATTCTCGTTATTTAGAGATGACATAATGGACTACCTTAAGAAACTTTAGAATAAATTATAATACCATTTGTTTAAATAGTCACAAATTACAATAGCTATGTATGTATGTACACATATTAATATATACACATACATACAAATACACACATTTATGCACATAAAATATCAAACAACAAAAGCATTGTATAGTGATTCTCTACAGGAAGAAAAAAACACAATGTTTTACTGAGGGTCACAAGGAAAGTTATGAAAGACTATGAATTATAGCACTTCAAATAAGTGAAAAATATGACCACAAAAACAGAAGAGTTGGTTAAAGGCCTGAAGAAAAATATGGTGGCACAACTACAGGGATGGAAGGGCTTCAGAAGACAAGCATCAACCTCAGTGTTACACAGCAGGAAAGCAGACAGCCCTCCCATTGCTCAGATGTCCTTGGCCACTGCTTTCTGGAAGCTGCATTCATTTAGGAATGAACAGATGCGACTGGCAGAAAGGAGGCAGAAGGCTTTTCAAAAAGCAGCAGGAAATGAACAAGTAGAGAACGCATTCACTGAGACCCTGGCAAAGGATCCAAAGAGTTCTGTAAAAGGAGTTCAGAGCCTGGGAGTCAATTTATTGGATTTGCAAAAATCAGTAATGGATAGTTTCAGTGAAATGAAATATTTCTTACAAGCAGATACCACAGGGCATGCTTACACTTCCCCAGGACCTCTCCCTTCACAAGGGCCTGTATTCTGGGTATTTGGGAAACATTTGGACTTTTACTATTTAATATAGAGCCCTGCAAAAAAGAAGCCATGGCAAGATACCATCATCCTTTTTAATAGTCAAGGCTGTAAATATATCAAAGAATTTTGGAGACTAGCAGACAATCTAGCTGCAAACTTAAAACAAGTTGAGGCTTAATTTACGTAAAGTAAAATACAAAACTCCTTTCTCCTAAAGATATTCATAGTAAGTCTTTAAAAAAGCTTAAAAACCACAGTGATGCATATTACCACCAGCAATCTGAAGGAAATCACAGGGAGATTTCAAGTTCCCTCTGAGTAACAAATTAGCCTCTCTGAACAGATCAAGTTCAAGTTCGGAAAAAATAGCGACCTCTGAAAGCACAGGCTTTGACTGCTGTGGGCCACTCATCACAGGCTGCCTGTACTGCAAGCGGCATGGTCAGGTGTGCCCTTGGAGATCAGAAAGCCTTTTTATTAAAAATGAAAGAGAACTTGGTTTTCTCTTGCTGCTTTGATGTGAGATCAACAATTTCTAATAAAAGAGATTTTTTTTTTTTTCCCCCTAGACAGGGCTACAGACCAGAAATCTATGTTTAAAAGGGCATGTTTTCATTGGCAAGCTCCAGTTTAATTAATTTCGATTTATAAAGGAGTAGCAAAGGTTAGTGACATTGTTACCCAGGCATGCAAATTAAAAGTGAACATAATCCTAGTTTAAATTTTGGGAAAATATTCAGTGTGTCTCAGGAGGTGAAACATACCACAGAAGCACATGAAAGATGGAAGATAATATATGAAAATCATAGATATGATAAATTATATATTATAAATATATTTATAATGAAATATATGTATTTATATAAATAAAATTATATATATAATCTATATAATTTTTAAAATATTGCCTCCTATGGCAGAGTCAAAAGGTATGGGTAGGTACTAGAAGAAAGGCTTTTCATAAAATCTTTTCTGGTGGTTTCCATGATGTGGCTCTGTTAAAAGCAAAGCAAATAAATTAACATTCATTAATTTTATGCATAGCATGTTTCAGCATTTATAATAACTGCTTTTTTGAGGGCTTCCTTGCTCATAGTTATAATTTTGTTAAGTCATATATATATATATGTGGAGGAATGCCATGTTTTATGAACACATGTCAGTTTCTAAGGAATCAAGCCCCATAAAAGACCACTGAGGAAATATTTGGAGGCAGAATTCAAAACTTCTCCTTCATTCTGTTTTCCCACATTTGGGAGAAGGGAGAGGATTTGTGAAATGTGGCCACTTATAGTCATTCAAGAAAAGGCTGAATCTCTTTCATGTTCATAAATTTGAACATATGTAACAAAATAGAGAAGGCACTAAATCCAGAGAGGCAGCTGCAGAGTCCTCCTTCCAAATGATTGGGAATACGTTTTAAGCTCAAAGTATTCTTTACCAATAAACCACGTGCACTCATGATGAGCAGCTACTCTATTTGAGCCCCTGGTATCCAGATTTTTCCCATCTCTAGGCTCACACATGGTGTTCCCCCTGCCAAGGCAAGGCATGTTGCTCCCTACTTTTTGCCTCCTGCATTTTCTGGGTCTCACCCCTTCCGCGAGGGCTTCCCGCATTCGCTAGTCTCACATGGTTTTTTTCCTTGCTTGTTTCTCTCATCTCATCCTGTCCCTTTCCTTCATGGCACTTAGCTGTGCATTGTCTTTACGTTTGCTTCACTTCTGTCCTTTCCCCACTGGATTGCGAGTTTCCTGAGGGCAGGGACCCTCTGTGTCAGTAGAGCCAGACATCAGGATGTCATGGTGAAAATACAGGCTTTAGAGGTAGACTGTCCGGTCCCAATCTCAGCTCTGCTGTGCACAGGCTATATGATCTCAGCAAGTTACTGAACCTCTCTGGGTGGTAGTTTCTTCATCTTAAGTGGATGTAGGGTTCATATTACCTACCTCATGTTTTTTCTATGCTTAAAATCAAAAGTGATGATGCAAGAAAAGCACTTAATATGCTCTCTGGTACATAATAAGCCCTTCGTCAAATGAGCACTATTATTATTCACCACTGTGTATCTAATGCCATCCACAGCCTCAATACTAAAAGATGCTGAATAAGTAGTCATTAAATCAATTTACTTATATATTCATAATTATATCAGAGTATTCTCACACCAACCCATAAAGCATCCCCATATCCATTCCACAGATAAGGAACTAGAGAGCTGGAGACTTCTGTTTTCTAAGCCCCAGCCTCGCCAGCATAAACTCAGAACATTATCTCCATTACATCTCTCCTGTCAGGTTTTCACATCAACTTTGCATCCAGGAGGAGTCAGAAACAAACTACAATATATCTATGAAGAACAAATCTGTAGCCATGAAACAAAAGCTTATTCAATTATGAACTGAGGACATACAGACGGAGTGATGTGGAGAATGTGCATATTCTCCAGTCCTGTCCCATAAATTCTTTGAGTTTTAGTTCCCCCCACCCGCCCCCAGACAGTCTCAGTCTGTCGCACAGGCTGGAGTGCAGTGGTGTGATCTCGACTCACTGCAACCTCCACTGCCTGGGTTCAAGCAAGCTTCCTGGCTCAGCCTCCCAAGTAGCTGGGACTATAGGCGTCTGCCACCATGCCCAGCTCATTTTTTTTTTGAGATGGAGTTTCGTTCTTGTCACCCAGGCTGGAGTGCAATAGCATGATCTTGGCTCACTGCAACCTCCGCCTCCTGGGTTCAAGCGGTTCTCCTGCCTCAGCCTCCTGAGTAGCTGGAATTACAGGTGCTCATCACCATGCCCAGCTAATTTTTTGTATTTTTAGTAGGTTTCACCATGTTGGCCAGGCTGGTCTCAAACTCCCGACCTCAGGTGATTCATCTGCCTTGGCCTCCCAAAGTGCTAGGATTACAGGGGTAAGCCACCACGCCCGGCTGAGTCTTAGTTTTTACCTTCTGTGAAATGGGGACAATATAAGCTTCCTGATGCACAGTGGTAAGGACGAAAGGAGACGATATATGGAGAAGGCCTCATGCAGGGATTGGCATCAAGTAGGTGCTCAGTAAAAGCCAGCTTGTGTTAACTCACTTCCTATCCTCTGCACAGGATATGAACCAGTAAATGGTTTTTAAGGCCACAAGTTATACTCCATCCTAGATCTTACCAATTCAGTATTGAAAATCCATTAGACACGGATATCTTGCTTTCATAGTAAAGGGCAGCTAAAATGCTGAGGTCCTTGAGTGTGCAGTAGATATTAGGTTAGGCAATTCTTTCTAAAAGTTTCTAATTTCTATTATGATAAAATATGAAGAATCAAAAACTCCATCTGTACTAGAATCTGACTGTCAGCCTCGCTATTTCCAATTCTTAAATCTAGGACATGAAAAAAAAAATCATACATTTTGAGTTGTTCTCAGAATTCTCAGGTCTATGAATAAAGTTGTTTCAGGGAAAGTGGCTGTCTTTCTTTGAGCTATTTAAAGTGGTCTATCTAATTATGAAAAGAATTTGCCCATTCCTAATAGTAGAAAGACTCATTTTCCAGAACTCTGGTTAATGTGGGCTCAGCATTGTTGAAAGAAGGACAAGAGGAATCCTAAATAATCACTTTTCATGTCATGTCCCAGACCACCCAGAAAGACCACTTGACCTAAAAACCAAAGGATGGAAATAAACCCCTATTTACTCAGATTAGGCAAAACACGAACAGAGAACTCTTATCCCATGATGAGCAGATGTTCATTGGCTCCATTCACGAGGTCTCTCTGTGCTGGCACAGCCAAAAGCCCGCCGGCTTATGTCCGCACACAAGAAACCTGGACAAATCACTCTTGCTGACACTCAGAAGTATGGAGGTCAAGGTCAAAAAACAGTGGGCTCAGAGGTCAAGGGCTGCTCCCCCAGACTAAAGAGACTGAGGGCTGGATGGCTGCTTATTACTGACGTGGTTGCCTTGGATCTCTCCACCTTAGACCTGCCTGGGATGTAGGTATTTTGAGCAGCTGGCTTTAAAAACCTTCCAACTCCCAGTCCTGCTTTATCTGGTGTGCCAGGAAGGCTATTATCCTCACTGAAGGCCAGGGGAAGCTTCTTAAGGAGTCTCGAGGTTACCAGTGTAGAGAAAAACATTTCAATGGGAAGAATGGCCAATGGAGGCAAGCAATCATCCATGAAGATTAGACAAATCACGCAATATCCAGTGGAGCACTGTTAAAGTTAGAGTAACGTTACCAAAAGAAAACATGGCCCAGTTTTAGCCCAAGGGAGACTCTTGGGGATAAACTGTCAAGAATAAACAACTGACTCAGAAAGAGGATGATCTTTTATATGCGATTATGAAGTAATACGGTTGATTTCAAATTCTGCTAATTTAAACATTAAATGCTATTCTTCACTCTATTTCCAGTTGGATTTTAATTATATTCACAGCATAATAGGGCCATGTTGTGAAGATCAAAAAAAGTAACAAAATGAACCATTTTTACAGGATGGTGAAACAGCATGAACTAGATTGCAGGATTGGATATAGGTGAAGAATTTCTTAACTTGTACAATCTGGTATTGAGGACTGTGCATCGATGCTTTTTGGAGTGGAGGAAGAAGGGGAATGGCAAGGTAAGGTGGACACATTTAGTCCTAAGAATCTTTTGTGGGAAACACACACACACACACACACACACACACACAGAGCAAACCTTGTAAAAAAAGATCACTAACCCAAAGGTTAGTGGAGATAAAACTTGCTGATCACCCTGTTTTCCAAAATCACTCTGACAAGGTTAATGTATACTTATAAATATTTCGTTTTGTGTCCCCATGGCTAGGACTGTGGAGCAAGGATTTGGAACTGTGGCCCATGTGTGCAAATAAAAAGTAAGCACCTCTGCTGGAAAAAATCTTATACTCTGCCTTTCTACATAAGCTAGATTTTCTTCACTATCTTCTAAACATGGACTAAGAAATCTCAAGAGGTCAGATATCTAGCTTCTTGTTTAGTAGCTGCGGGGAAAGAGACTGTGCAAGTGTTTGGTGCCGGCACCCCTGCCACTGGCATGTGCTTGTCCCAATGCATTAAGACAAAACTGTACTAAGCCAGGGCAAACAAACACCTGCCTCTATCTAGGGCTGTAAACAGGTGGCCTGAGGTTTCTCTGCTACATGCTCTTCACTGCCCACAGTCCCCACCCCTCCCTATGGCTTTATACCCCTGCTACGGTGAGAAAGTTTGCACTGCCACCTTTGGGACTCCTTCTGCCTCATTGCACCCTAGTATGGCTCAGATAATTCATTTCTAATTGAAGCCAGCAAATACTGGCTTTCTATCATCTGCAAAGCACTTTGTTAAGCAAAAGGGCTATGGGAGGGTGGGGAGAGGAAATCACAGAAACAGTAAAATAAAGCTGGTTATCAAGGTGATGGCAAGGGGCTGGATAGAAAGATAAGAAATCTGTTTCAAAGTGCCTGTGTCCAACTACATCGTCTTGATTGACTTACTCATGAACTCCCTCAAACAAACCAAAAACAAACATCAGTCAGGCTGGGTTGAGTTTAGGTTCTGCCACTTCTTTAAACGCACATATCAGGCAAGTCATTTAATTTCACTATGCCTCAGGTTCCTCATCTATAAACAGGAGAGAGTAACAGTCCCTTTCTTATAGGATGGTTGTAAAAATTGTATGCATTAATGCACAGCAAGCCCTCAGAATAGTACCTGGCAAGTGTAAGCATTCCATAAATGTTAGCTGTCACCATCATCATCAACATTATTAGCATGATTTTACTTCTTACCCATTCATGTAATCATAATTTCTTAAACTCTGATAACCATTACAAAAGCCCAATGCAAAGCCACAGAACACAAATTCACGTTCCCCTCTGGGGGTTAAATTTTGGCCTCACCACAGTGGTTCTGTTGATATGAATTCTTTATCAGCTTGAAGTTAATGCTGGAATGCTAGAACAATGACCACAAAGATGTCTAGAGAGATCTGGTTCTTTTACTGAGCAGTGTAGACACTTTTTATGACTTAACACTCTTGCAATAAAAATTAAGTGGTTACATAAGACCACTACCAAATGACAAAACCACGATTATGTACTGGCTCCCTACAAAATCCTTCACAGAAATGGATATTAGTTGAGAACTTAACATGAATAACCACAGTATCAACGACAACATATTCAAGTTTTTATGAAAACCAAGGCAATTCTTGGCGCTTTGAGAATTTTTTTTTAAATCAAAGTAACCATTAAAGTGATTTCGTAAAAAGTCCTGATGTACCTGGTTATGCTAAATTCGGGCCAAATATGAGAACAAAACTGTAAATGGCATTCATAGCTGAATGTAGTCTCTTAAACTGTGGTAAGAACAATACAGATCAAATGTTCTTCTGTTATTTATTTATTTTTTAAAGTAAATTTAAACCAGAAAGTTTGAATTTATTTCTTAGGGAGAAAATCAGGAAACTGTTTGGTTTCTATTCATTTCTTATGTACCTCAAAATGTAATTGATCAAAACTTTGAATTTTAAGAAAGAGATGTCATTAATTCGTTCAATGGACCAGAATATTAATTGACAACTCTGTAACTTTGTTGCAACAAATTTAGCAGGTTATGATGAAGATCAGATAAGGGACAAAGCTCTGAAGAACGCCAGATAAATTGAAAAGATTATTGGTTGACTATAATTTCTAATTATCTTTACTTTATCAAGAGTGCTGGCCGGGCACAGTGGCTCACGCCTGTAATCCCAGCACTTTGGGAGGCAGAGGTAGGTGGATCCCGAGGTCAGGAGATTGAGACCATCCTGGTTAACACAGTGAAACCCCATTTCTATTAAAAATACAAAAACAATTAGCTGGGCGTGGTGGTGGGCACCTGTAGTCCCTCGGGAGGCTGAGGCAGGAGAATGGAGCGAACCCAGGAGGCAGAGCTTGCAGTGAGCCAAGACTGCATCATCACTGCACTTCCAGCCTGGATGACAGAGCGAGGCTTCGTCTCAAAAAAAAAAAAAAAGAGTGCTAACATTGTCCCAAAAGGTGTTGGAAAATGAACTATCCTGTTTGTTTTGAATCAAATGAATCCTGCCTTTCTCCCTGGCTTCTCCACAGTCAGTCATGTGTCCTATTCTACTGATGCTATTTCCCTAATCTTCCCTTGTTCATATCTCTTTCATAACCACGTTTGCCTGTGTTACACTTGAGGATGACTTGGGTTTGTATCTATCACTGTGCTCCATGGCTGGTTAGAGTGGCTGATCTTTCTGCCTGACCCAGTGTCCCAATCCCCTTCCCAAATACTACTTCTGATTAGTAGCTACCAAAGCTGCATTCTCAATCAAAGAGGTAGCCTCCTCCTTGGAAGGAGGCGTCTCTCCTTCAGTCAGGGGTGTGCAAGGGACTGCCTTCCTGGTCCAGAGACAAACATATCTCAAGGCAAACATGTAACTTCCCAAATTCCTGATGCTACACACAGAAAATACACACATTGGCTCACTGAGTCTAATCAGCCTAATGTCTAGACCAAGTGTCATCAACACTTTAGCTGTATTCAGGGTTCAGACAGAAACAAGAAGGAGGGAAGTGAACCCAGCATACACATCTCCACCCAACGGAAGCAGCCACTTGCAGTCCCTGCCGATAGCTGGCCCTTTGAGGACTCAGGGGGAGGTAGAGTGTTGCATAAAATAATGCCAAAACTCTAGACTTCTCTGTAAAAGTCTCCCAATTTTGAATCACTGGCAACAAATTCCAATTTTTTTTTTTTTTTTTTTTTTTTGTGAGATGCAGTCTCGCTCTGTCGCCCAGGCTGAAGTGCAGTGGCACAATCTCGGCTCACTGCAAGCTCTGCCTCCCGGGTCCACGCCATTCTCCTGCCTCAGCCTCCCGAGTAGCTGGGACTACAGGCGCCCACCACCACGCCCAGCTAATTTTTTTGTATTTTTAGTAGAGATGGGGTTCCACCATATTAGCCAGTATGGTCTCGATCTCCTGACCTCGTGATCGCCCTCCCCTCCCAAAGTGCTGGGATTACAGGCGTGAGCCACCACGCCCGGCCAAATTCCAAGCACTTTTAAACACAGTGTTAGTTCAACAAAACTCTTCTTTGGTGACGTTCAGCTGAAGCCTACCAATTGTGGAGATAACACTCAAACAAGGTCAGGATACCTGAGTAATAATTTCCGTCTCTCCAGCTTTGCAAACATAAACAACAAATAATGAGCGCCTACTGTGCGCCAGGCATTGTGCTGATGGCATTCCTCATGTCATCTCACTTTGATCCTCATTACACACTCACTGTGATATTGTTACTTCTGGCAAACACATGAAAAAAGGTGCTTAGAAAAGACCTTGTCTTAAGTTTTCACAGCCCGGCAGCAGCAGGATTGGAATTTGGGTTTGCATGACTTTAAGATCTACCTGTTTTCCACTAAACAACCTGAATTGCATGTAGAAACAACCAAGAACAAAGATGATCTCGCAGAAAGGGCATGTTCAGTCCTGGGAGAGTAAGTGAAGTGGCATTACAGATCTCCATGTTATTTGCTGGGGGCATATATTGCCACGGCTGTTGTTTAGAGGGTTAATGGTCTATTGCGGTAATCTAAGAAGTGAGAAATTTGATCTCATTTCAAATTTATCATTCAGCCCTTCAGTGTAGTTATTGCTGGCTAGAGTGTTACTGACCAGAAGAATCTAGAAATCTAGCCACTAACTGCATTCACAAACAAAACTGCTACTAAAAATCATAGTTTAAAAAAGGCAAACCCAGAAACTCTTTGAGAAGTCCTTAACTCAATGGGTCTTTATGTCCATTGGTTTCACATTTAACAAGTTGATTTTAATCTGATTATGTCAACATCAAAGACAGGAAAAAATATTCAACATCAAATGGATCAGAAATGAAGCATTTTACAAAAGAAGTCTAATAACCTCATCTAGCAATCTCTCTTAATTAAGTTAACTTAATCAAGTTTCCATATTCTTTAATGCTTATTTTTGGCAAAAGTTAAGGCAAAAGCAACTGAATCCCAAATTAGTGCACAGGCCAGCTGCAATTTTTACTTGCCTTAATTTTGCTTGATGATTAAGCCATTGAGGAGGATATAACTTCCTCCCAAAACTTCTACCTCTATCCACTTAAATCTTTTCAAAAACAAATTTCAATTATTTATAGAGCTGTAGAATCACCACAATTTTAAATCACGTTATCCATCTTTTTAATTTTCAACTCCAAATACAATAATTGAAAAAATATCTATCCATGGCATATTAGAAACTCAAAAGGCTTTAAAAAATTGTTTTTGTTTCAAAATTTTGTAACAGGAGGGGCCTAGGAAATTATCTTGGGGACATATCCCATATAACAGACTATCCACCAAATATCCACAGTAACCACCACTATCTTTGTGAAGTCATCAGTTGCCCCTGCATCTGAAGTGGGAGGGTCTTACAAGGTGTAATACACAAAGTAAGAAACCCAGGATAGAGAAAGCAAAGAAATCAGCTATAGATGGTGTTACTGGGTGTTGTACTCTGCTCTTTGTGTTCCTTCACTGAGTATCAGCCTCATTTTCTCCCCTCTGCGTGCAGGTTACCTCTTCAGTGAGGTTAGTCTGGCCACCCTATGCCAAATAGCACATCTGATTCCAACTCTCTAGTCCTTACCCCCAAACTCCCTACCCCCACTCCCCTTTCTTCATTTTTTATTGTATCACTTAGTACCACCGGATGTCTTATATGTCGATTTGGCAGTTATTATTTTCTATTTACAACTTATTTTCTATTTATTCCCCCATTAAAATGCAGATCCATGAGGACTGAACTTTTGACTCTTTTGCTTACTATTGAGTCCCCAACATTTAATAATTAACAGATATTTTTTGAATAATTTACAAGTGAGCAAATGATCGATCATTAACTGTCACACCCACTAGAAGGTAAATGCTTCAGAAGCAGGGCTCTTGCTTGTCTCAGTCTTTCCTCTAACCCCACAATACCTGCAACAATTCCCAGCACATAGCAATGAAGGGCTGAATCAGTGGGTGAATGAGTGACTTCCTCTTGTCTATTCTGAAGCTATGCTAATTCCATTGGCAGTAATATTCTATGTTCAGTCAAGATTCCAATGGAGGTTAAAATCTGTCTCTCTTTTTTTGAATTTGGGACATCCCCACACCTTTGGAAGTGAATTTTACAGCTAGTGCATCTCATATTATGTGTTGATTTTTATTATTTTAACTCTTAGAGTTCTGGTGAAAGGAGCAGACTCATTCCAGTAGTTTCTTGGAATGGAATGCTTATAGAAAGGAATATGTTCACGGGAACTAATGACCAGATCTCAGGAGGTTCAGAAAACCATGGGTCAAGATTTACAAGGGGTCCGTGAGCCAGCAGGAACCCCTAGGTCTTGCTTCGGCAGTACTGCCTTTCTTAAGCTCCTGTTCTGCTCCACTTTTCACAGATTTCCTGTTCTTCTCTTCACATCTTGTAGATAACATCTTTTGACACTGATGATTCTAAGACACCTTTATGGAACTGAGGCTCAGAAAAGAGGGTAGATGCCATTTCTGTCTAATAGTTTGCTATCCGGTCTTCAAAAAACTTCTGGTTTACAAAGGATAGCACTGAGCAAGTCACTCTTGTGCCCTGTCGAGTGCAGTAGCTTGTATTATTTATTGCTCAATCAATTTGCTGCCCCTCCCTGTGGGAAGATGAAACTTCCCTGCCCTGCTGATGTCAGACTTCATCCTGTCACTTGTTAATGTAATGTGCCTTGTGAAGTCATCGGTTGCCCCTTCAGGGGGGTTAAGGCTAAGGACCATCACCTGGGTCTGCCATGTTGTCTTTTCCTTCTGCCTTAACACCAGCAATGACCGAGGTGGCAGGTTGCCCCTTTAGCCTGGGTTCTAGAAAGCTAATGACATGGAACAGAGCAGCTGCTGACCCAAAATGGAAATATATCAAGAGCAAGAATATATTATTGTTGCAGGTCTCTGAAATTTTCCAAGTTGTTTGTTATTGCAGCAGAGCTTAGTCTAAGCAGAACAATACAGTGACAATCATTTTGTGATGATCATGCATTTCTTCACACTCCAATATATTATCAAGATATGCAAATAAGGACCTGGAAATGCCCTAACAGTATCCAAGGCTTCCTCTCTCTACACCTGAATGGAGACTTAACTGGAGCATCAGTAATACAAACGCCCAGTAACAGCAAAGGCAAAGATTTGTCAGCCAAGCCGTGGGCTATTGGTACCCCTATCCCTATTCCCAAAGCTTAAAGTAAAAGCAAAGGCTCTAGAGAAAATAAAAGCAAACACATGTCCATAGAGCTATCTTTTTGGGGAGAGAGTATCTTGTGGAAGTTTCACCTGACAGTTCACATGGGCTGACTACAGAGTGAAAACAAGTCAAGTTCCATTTAGGTCCATAATTACAGTAATTGCACGCTTATAACCTGCATTTCCTAAACTGTCATTCTCCAGTCCTCTGTTGTTACATATGGTGTAAATCTTGCCCATAATGTACACCTTGAAGGTGATTGTAGAATACCATTTATTATGCACCCACATGCATGGGATATTGCACAGACAAGCAAAGCAGACTCTAGCTATGCCCTGAAGTAACTTGGCTTAGGAATTAACTGCAGGTAAAGGGAAATTCTACAAGGATTTGGATTTGGGGTTTCTCTGTAATTATATATTATGTAACACCAAAGTA